CTTCTTCACTTAGGGAGGAGCGGGAGGGCAGATCTTTATTCTACTAGTTGGTTCATGACTCACTTGGAAACACTGCAAACTGCCTTACATAAATACAGATTATTTGTTCATCTAGACCAGGGGTAAGCAACCTTTTTGAGCTGGGGGCCGGGTTGCTATCCCTCAGACAATTGGGGGGCTGAAGCACCAAAAATAAATAAATAAATAAATATAAAAATGCACACTCTCTCAGCCCCGGAAAAGCCATGCAAAACCCCTGTGGAGATTTTGCCAAGAAAACCCCAAGAATAAGTAATAACAACAGTAATCAATATCATCATGGTGGGTGGTGGCGGCGGCAGCAGCAGCAGCGGCAGGACCGGACTGGGGCCAGTCCAAAGGCCTTGGGGGGCCGCATCCGGCCCCCGGGCCTTAGGTTGCCTACCCCTGATCTAGACCAAGGTTGAAGATCCTCTGGGCTTTCAGATGTTGTTGGGCTAAATTCCCACCACACCTGACCATTTTGTAATGATCTGGAAGGCCAGAGGTTCTGCAACCTTGATCTAGTAAATTATAATCTATCCAATATTGTCTATCTTGACACATCACAGCCAGAGGTCCCCCCCCCTCCCTAGTATCTGATCCTTTTAACCAGAGTTTGAACTTGGACCCCCTACTTGCCAACATGTGCACTACTGCTTAGATAGAGCCCAACCATTCTCACTATTTTTATTAGCTTTTACATATCTGGATACAGATTTTTGTTGACTATATGTCTTCCACTCATAACCATTTGGATCTTAGATGGGATGTCTACAGAATATTCATAAATGGTAACATCTGAAGATAACTTTGGGACTATTCAAGATGTCTGAATGTTAGCAGAGGAAGCATTCTCATGTTTTCCATCTCCTTTTTTCGAGGGAAGGAAGGAAGGAAGTGCTTGTCATCCCTAGGGTAACATACATTTGTGCTCATATCAAGAGAGTAATATCTCAAAGGAGATACCAACACTATTCTCTCACAACACTAGGATATTATGATAAATCTATTTTTTTTTAAAAAAATGTTTTATAACAATACTTTTTAACATACTATTACATTATTATTTTAAAAACTTTGGAAATAATAAAAACTGAAAGTAATGGTTTTAAAGTAAAAAAAAAATATATTAATAGCAGCATGTTACTTTTGAAGGTACTAAGAGGATAACCACATTCCGTTACTGAGATAATGCTAGTAAATGCTACAGATTGTATAACAAACAATGATTACTTTTCACTCTCAGGGTGATGTTTTTGGTTGGTATTGTTTCAGGGAATTTGGGAGCATTTCCCTATTTTTAAGGGTTAAAAAATAATTTGCAAGAAATAGCAGAAACATTTTACTCTTACAGCAGTGCATAATGCACTATTTTTTTAAAAAAAGGAAAATAAAAATAAAGATAATGGTAAGCATTCTGTTGGTTAGTTCCAATTATAGCAGACCCATTCAATGGATTGTTGAATGGTGAGTCAATATGCAAGTAGAACAAGTGCTCCACTCTAGTCAAGAATACAAGAGAAATTAGGCCCATGGGTTGTCTTTTAAAAATAACTTTCTGAAAACTCTGTTCAGAATATTGCCCTTTTTCACATAAGCCCAATTTTCTTTCTTTCTAATATTCCCTAAAACACTATGAACATTCTATCCATTTTTACACAAGCCCACTTTTCTTTCTTTCTAATATTCAGTGAAAGACTATGAAGGTGCTCAGTTGTTCTTTTTCCTCTTTAACTACTATATAATTAAGCCTCTTGGTTAAAACTGAGTTGTCTTAATTTTAGAGGTTAATCGAATATAAATTATTAGATATTATTGATATTTTTGGATTTAGGGGTTTAACAAAGTGTAAAATTATTGTACCTTGCAAGTTCGTCATCAGGATAATTGTTTTAGCCATTGATACTCAGAGTCAATATTGTGACACTGTATTTCTCAAGGGCTGTTACACAATTCATGCAATTTGACACCTCCTGACTGTCATTGCTCCATCTCATGGAATCCTGGGATTTGTAGCTCATTGCAGCACGAGAGTGATCTGAGTGAGAAAGCTAAATGTTTAGCAAAACTACAAGTCCCAGAATTCCATAGCATTGAGCCATGCCAGTTAAAGCAATGTCAAACTGCATTAATGCTGCAGTGTAGATGCAGCCAAAGTCAACTTTTAAAAGCAAAATTTGAACAGATACAATTTGAATTTTGAAACAGTGCTGCATTTTTCATTGATGTGAATCTCTGTATTGCCTCTGCTAAACAGAAGCAGAGCTTAACCACTTCTTGGGGCCTCTTTTCCAATATGATTGGCCAAAATCCACAGGAATCAGGAATATAGGAACCCATTTTATATAAGGTCAGTCTAGAAATGGAATGGTTCCCAA